TTTTAATTTTATTTTGTACTTATTTATGGTCTGCTTCTTGATTAGATTTATGGTCCCTTCTACTCCCTAGTTAACTTTTGCAGTCTCACTTAATGGTAACATAAATGAAAACAGACTTCCGAAATTATAATTTTAATATGATTTACCTTAAGTACGTTTTTGTGGCTCCTCAAAAAATAATATCCGGCGATTATCCACTCCTGACACCCATCACAAAATCACTTTGGAACCCTCCATTACCTCCTTGAAGAACCTAACTTTTTTTTTGTAAACTTTAGTTTTCAATTCCTTTTTCCTTTGTCAGTCATATGTCTAGTAGAAATGTTGGCATCGGCGAAAGTTGTCGGAAAATTTGTCAAATATATATCACTTTTTGTCGCATTGCAAGAAAAAATTTTTGTTTACTTCTGAATGTTGTTTAGGGCCGAACCTGGTGTGATGTTAATTAACTCAGAAACCAAACTCTTGAAAGCCAAACAAAAATTTTACTAATCTTTAAAACTTTATTGACTAGCTTAATAATATAATTTTAACTTTAAACTTCTTCGCATAGGTCTATGCGGGCTGAGAAATATCGGAAATACTTGTTTTATGAATTCTGTCATACAGTGCCTGAGTCACACCAGCGAATTGACAAAATTCTTGCGAACATACAATGGCACACGTTCCACCTCTTCGAAGGATCAACAAATCTTACAAGGTGAGTTTTGAGATCAGCAGAAAGCCAATGTGAAAGTGTATTTTGTCTGTCTATCGATTTCTACAGAGTTTGCAAAGTTGATACGCGAAATGTGGACCAGCAATGTGCATAGCGTCACGCCTATGGATTTGAAGCGCGCGTTTTCCCTAAAACATCGCATGTACAGCGACTACAACCAACAGGATGCGCAAGAATTTCTACGCTTCTTTCTCGATTCACTGCATTGTGCGCTGAATACAGGCGTGAAGGGTGAACACTTGAAAATCGACGATAACCTTAGGTAAGTGGTTGGTATACAACGTTCAAATATTTCTCCACCGAAAAAAAGAGAAAAATAATAAACATTTTTCAACCACAGCGACAATAAAAAAGCGGATCTAACATGGGAATGGTACGCCCGCCACGAAAACTCACTCATACGCGACCTCTTCGTCGGCCAACTGAAGAGTGCTTTACGCTGTACCAGCTGCGGAAATACGAGCGTAACTTTCGATCCGTTTTGGGATTTGAGTGTGTCGTTGCCATCATTGTCACGTTGCAAGCTAGAATCTTGTCTAGATCTGTTCATACGCGAAGAGGTGTTGGACGGCGATGAGATGCCAACCTGTGCGAAATGTCGCCAACGAAGAAGATGTACGAAAAGCTTCACCATACAACGATTTCCCAAATATTTGGTTATACGTAAGTGCAGAAATTTGTGTGGCGCTGTTGGTTGTCATTCGGACAATTGAAATTCTTATCGTTTTTAAATAGATTTGAAGCGTTTCTCGGAGACGCGCTGGAGCAAGTTATCGAATATCGTCGAATTTCCGACTGGTGAACGAGAATTAAATATGGGTCCATACGGTTCGAACCCCAACACGAATATATATTATTCATTGTATGCGATTTCAAACCATATGGGTGAGTTTAATAGATATTAGGTTAGGTTGTTTGCCAATTAATATACGTATTAATAATATACATCCAGATTTGTTTACTATCCGGATATTCGAAGAACTGAATATAAAATCTCAGCATCCGGATATCCGTTAGTAAATAGATATAGATTATATAAGCATTTTTTTTTTCATTAAATAATTAAAATCATAAAATTTCGATGAAATATCTCGAAGAACGAATCGAAGAAGAACGATTTGTTTTAACCGAAAAGATAGTACTTTAAATAACAATTAAATATCGACGAAAAAAAAAAAAACAAAACAAAGAAAAATGATTTATTTTTCGCGTACAAATAAAAATCAGTTCGATCGAAAAATTAAACTTCAAAGCAGTTTCCGCCATTTGTGTAATAAACCACTTAGCAAAAGTGTAAGCATCAAGATAATATTACTATAAGTCATGGCCGTTAGTCCTGGTTTGACATTTTTGTAAGATATCTGAAGCCAGAATCCAAGTACAGTCGTAATAAAATTCATATTGACAACACTTCACTCCTCTATTTGTTTTCTCCCAACAGGTTCTACCGCTGGTGGTCACTATGTGGCATTGTGTAAACACCCGGTATCAAGAAAATGGCATGAGTTTAACGATAACATGTACGTATTCTCCAGCAAACGTCTACCGGACGTCAGTTTCAATATTTTTTTTTATTCTCTTTACCTGCAGTGTAAGCGACACGCTGTCCGAAAGTAACCTAGTGTCATCCAGTGCCTATATACTGTTCTATGAGCGAGTGTAAGCAATAATACTCGCGTATTTACAAAAAAAAAAAAAAAAAAAAAATATAGCAACAAATACACTCACCAAAACTCACACAACCCCACCTCATCCCAAGCAACCAAACTCACTCAAAACCACTCGAAAAACTTATGTTTTATGTGCAATTGCGGACACTACTAACCACAAAACCTGTACCTTAGAAAAATGGAACTGGCTATGAATGCTGCTACAACAACAGCAACAACCACAAAATATAAGCAGAGAGGGCAAAAGGATGGAAAATATTATAATGGGAAATTTCATCGAGATGATTTGAATAATACACGAGCGTTTGGTTGAAAACATGGCCGCGAGTGTTCAACACAAAGGCCTGCAACAAAACAATACGCGTATACATAAATCATTTATCTAAAAAACGTGCTACTTACCTACTCTTATCTTATTTTTTACCTTGTACTAACATCCATATACTATCATATATGCATATGTACATAACTACTACTAAAATCCAAACAAAAAACTAAAACTATTTATGCTACTACCTAAAGCTGCAGAAATTACTACTGTACGCGAAAAGCATATGTGATATGCAAAAAAGAACACAACTAAAACAAAAAATGTAACAAAAACATAAAAATTGCCCCGTTTCCTACTAATACTACTGCTACTACATACTCTTAACTTGAAACCACACAAATATATAATCAGCATGCAGCGTGCAACAGGCAACTTGCCAAATGCAAACCACAAACTCTATCTCTCTCAAGCAGTTGGCCGGAGTACCTAATAGTGCGGCGCGATGATGAGTATTACACGCCAAAATTTGTAAATCTCTACGTGTAAATGTGCAATTTTCGATCGAGTCCAAAGATATATACTAATAGATAGATACTGTACTTGTATAAATGTATAACAAAGAACAAAATAACAAAAAATTATATGCTGATATATTAGAAATGATGATAAAGAAAGAAATTAAATTAAATAACAGTGTGTATAAGCGTTAAACTAAAAGCGTACCGTTTAATGAAACAGTTGGATCCTTTTATAAAATACGTGTATGTGTTTATGATTGAGCCAAAAAGGAAATAAAGTTGTTTTTACAAACCTAGTAGGTTTCCTA